AAACAAAAGTGTATCGCTTATATGATAGAGCGACGTCTACGCGTTCAAATGGTATATTACTTGATAAACATAAATTTAAAATATATAGTATAGAAAAGGTCTAAATATGACATAACAGAAAACCGCAATTTATTTCCGGACAACCTGATACGTTTCATTGTTAATACATCCGGCATTTGCCATCTAATTAAACGCTACAATTTTATTCTGAATAATAGAAATTTAGGTAATGTAATTAAATCTAATTTAATATCAAATTCTTCTTTAAGAATTAATTTAGAATCAAATCGATAATGTGGTCGATCTCGCTTCAAAACCCGACAGAAAAAATTTCTCGTTATTAATTATTAATCTTTCTTTTAATTACATTCTATAACAAATTATTTCGTCCACAGAGAATACCCTCAAGTAATATATTGAATCAAGTAGTTCAAGCTATAAAAACGGCTAAATCCAACGTTCAAAGCATCCAGTCGGACATCAGACGAGCTAGAACGAACTTTCAGTTAAATACACAAAATGAACTGGCCAACATTAACTATCAAAGTTTTAAGACCATAACCGATATTGAAAGCACGAGGCTTAAGTATATCCAGGTAAGTCATTACCACGAACAAAGTGACACGCTTTGTTAAAAATACAATAGTTATGTTTTAAAAAATACGTCAACGTATAAAGTCTACTGGAATGTTTGTTTTTCCACCTCGATAAAAATTCCCTAAAATTCTTTTCATTTCACTTTGAAAGAAAGAAAAACTACTTGTTGTATGTACCATACAGTCACAAATGATTTGTCTTGAACTTGATTTTATTACAAGTAACGGTCTGTACTAGCTGAAAACGATTCAAGGCTCTCCAATACCATGAAAATTCGAATCACTTGGAATATTATTCGAAATATAAATTTTTTGATATTCTTCAAATTTTTTTAATGTCTTAAAAGTGGTAATATCACTGTCATAAAGCATAGAAAATCTAGAAAATCAAAGGTATATTCGATAAAATATAAATATAAATTGCAGGATTACCCAAGTGTTTCAAAAATCATGAACACTAAAAGCTTTCTTTTTAAATCGAACGGTATTCGAAGTAATTCAAATCTAGAAAGTAAAATAAACATAGGCATCGATCAGGAAAGTAGAAAGGTTTTTTCATTACTGCGGCTACAAAATATATTTACTTTTTCACAAATTTTCAT